AGAACATGTAATAAAAGATACAGTACATTTAAAATTAGTTGAAAAACAAGTACAGAGATCTTAGCTGTGAATGCTCTAAAAGTTATGTCCATTATTTTGACAGTAAAATTACAAATATCTAATACTTTATACCCCAACAGAACTATGTCCAGGGAAAAAAAAAAAAAAAAGCCCAAATTATCTCTTATTAGCACCCCGGTTTTCTACTTACTGCTAAACTTTTTCTCATGTAAGTTTGAGTGTGTCAGAATTTTGTGACCAATGTGATTTCTGACCAGCTACCCGTTTGGGGTATAGAGTAGTCACTGACATGAATATAAAATACTCTGTGGTATGATAGAACACTATAGCAGCAGAGAGTAAGAAGTTTGTCTGGATTAAAAAAAAAGAAAGGAAGGAAGGAAAAGAAAAAAGGGTTTAGCTGACATCATACAAACTAGCATAAAAGCAACTACATACAAGCCAGATTAACCAAAAGAGACATTTCTACAAATCTGTGACTAATCTTTCACTCATACCTTGCAAGTAGAGATGTCACAATACTGAAATATTAACATGGGAGCTTTTCCCAGTTAAGCGCCTTTTTTTTTTTCTTTTTTTTTTTCTTTTTTTACTACTCTAACAGATAGTGAAATCAGCAAAGTTATTTGCTAACTGCATATTTGCAATACAATTTGTTTTAGCCCATGCCTTGCTAGCAGGCTATAAAATACAAGCATGTAGGCAGAAATATAAGCATAAACTTTGTACCACTTAGCAGGAATTTTTTTCTTCCCTCTTCATTCCTTAATCTCCTTTGTTTGCAATTTGCGCACATTCCAACCAGTAGTACCTAATTTGAGTCTAAATTTTACTTCACTATTTGATCTAGTCTATACATTACTTACAGAACTGAACACACAGAGGATACACAATAGACCAACTCTGGAGACATTTCTTTCCGCAAGTTACAGATGAGCCACTCTAACACTCTAGCATAAGTTAGTCTAAAAGGTCATCGATAACTTGTTGAAGTAATGGTTTTGTCTAGAGCAAGTCATTGTATGCCCTGTTTACGCAACACCAGTTTTAGTCTGGATTGTTTTCGGTGCCAGAACAGAGAGTCACTGGCTTCAGGAAGGGGTTTCTTCTGGCTGCATAGGGAAACAAAGGTGATGTAAATGGCGGTGAAGTGAGTGAAAGGTGTTTCGATACTGGCACTTGGTATTGCCAATACAAAAGAAAAAAAGGACAAAGACACAAGAGAGGCAGAGAAGAACGGAGAAAGACAAAGAAGCTGAACAGCTGTTCAGACTTGGTGGCAATATGGGTTACTGCATTGCTACCAGGAAACGGCCGTAGCTTATTTTGCATTAACCAGGCAGCTACCAACGCTGTGTGGTAACTTCGTTGGAAAATGATGTGGGTACCTACAGTCTGCTCCATGCTGCCACTGGTAAAGGTATGCAGGAAGGAAGTTGTGCAGGAAAGGGTCAATTTAATTAAATAAATAACACGGTGGCAAAATACAATGAAGAATATAGATTTTTAGGAGGTTCAATCGAAGACTATTGAAAAGAGAGTTTATTGAGTTCATGACGAGAAAAGTAATGGAGCGTTATGCTGAATGGGCAGGGTCAAAAACCCATTGTTTCGATAGATTTAGTTCCTTATAACGGCAATAGTATTTCATCAACACTGGTGGTGTATAAATCTAGACAGCGAACTGGTACTGTGACATCCCTATTATCTCCCTAAATCATTTTGATAAAGGAAAAGGCTTTTCAAAATATCACATTTTTTCTGCTTCATTCTGTCATTTTATTGCCCAATTCTTTGTTACAATTTTCCAATCACTTTACATAACCAACCATTTTCATCATTGCCACACTATTGTAAACCACATCAGCAAGTTAATACATAAAGCTTTGCATTTCAAAAAACTAGACACTTTAGTAACAATATTACAAAGATTTTAGCTTCAAAAATAACTGAAAATGAAAAAAATAAACTTTTAAAGAATTAGCATCATAAAATTAATTTATTCCAAGTAAAAATACAAAATAATATTAATGACATTGACCAGATATGAAAGTCTCTCCCAGAAACAACTATATTAATGGTTGAGAAAGCACTCCTTAAAGAAAATACGAAATAAAAATGAAAAATATGTAAATATGTTTAATTTTTTTCTTAGCAAAAAATCTTTCTAAAAATAACAATGAAAATTTGTCTCAGTACAAAGGCTACATTACTATTGAAAAAATACCAGCATGAAGAAAAGGTACATATTTGACAGTAGAAAAATGATTTTAGTGAATCACAATGTCTAAAGTCTGCAATGAAAATAAATCTGCAATAAAGATTTATGCCTTTTTTCTTTTCATTTTTCTTTTTTTTTTTTATACAAACAGTACAAACAGTATTGCACATAACAACAAATAGTCGAGGTTAGGTTAGCCTTCAAAAAAATCGACTAGTTCAAGTCTCACATCAGAAAAGGCCACAATAGGACCTGTTGTACCCAGGGGCTTCTTAGTCAAGTTGCAGTTCAGAACTCCGTATTTTAAAAAATAACTTTTTTTGAAGGACCCTCTTTTAATATAACATATTAACAACTCAGGGGCACATTCATTTACAAAACAAAAGGGAGCATGTCATAATTTAATAAACTAAAAAAAGTTCTCTTTAAAAAAATACAAACAGAAGAACTCTCACAATTCTGGTCAGTCGTGCATAATCACACTTGATTATAAATATACAAATTAAGGGAAAATATTTTTTCACCTTCTATTCACAACTTTCAGCACCAAATGGAGTTTGTGTTTACACCTGTTCTTTATGACGATTTTGTTTTAGATTTAATCCAACATTACGCTATATTGTACATTTTCCAGCTTCTCTCTCTCTCTCTTTCTCTCTGGGGGTATTTTTCTACATGAAAGAGGGGTATTTCTTCAAAAAGGTTTACTTCTTTCACATAATTAGGTAGATTTCTGTAGGTTAGCTATGATCTTTAATATTACAGTTATAAAGCTCTAACTTCTTCATTTTCAAAAAAACTCAAATAAGCATGAAAAAAATAAAGTTACCCATCTGTTAAATCATTTTTCTTGCAGAATTAAATTAATATATATTCTTCTGAATAAACTTACTTAGAAAATATCATTTTCTTTCCTATATTTCAAAATTGAGGTATTGCAAAAGATCATGTCAGTCAGAAAGCATGCCTTTTTCTTTAAAAAAAATCATCAGCCGACTGTTGAAAACTGTCTAGATACAAAAAGTAGTGCATAACAAAATGTCTTGTACAGATGAAAAAAAAACAGAAAAGACACCTGGGCTGGGAAAAGCAGTATCACAAAAACACCCAGAAGTAACTTCAAAAGGGATAATTATAATAAGCATTTTAAACCAGTAAAAAACTATTTTTTCTTTTTTCTTTTTCCAAAAACAGAAAAAAATCCTTTCAAAGCCAATACTCGCAACTAAACATTGGGAAAAACAACTTACTAAATTAGACACAAACAAGGACGTCACAACAAACAAAACCCAGAACACTTAAATCTACTATGCGGTGTCATATCCAGTCAGATTGTCCCCAGAACTGCAAAAACAAAGGAGGAAAAAGAAAAAAAATAGTGTACACATTCTCACAATCATTAGTATACCAAGTGTGTTTATATTTATATGCTATCTGCAGCCCCATAGTTCATGCTAAAAAAATGTCCACTGTGTTAGCAGGTCTTAATTGTATTCAAGCTTCACAGGATACATCCAGGGATTAGAGAGATAACGCCACATCCACAGAGCAGACATCTCATGTTACTTTTATATGCAGACATTTCTTTAGCACCACTTTTTTCCCTAGCTTTCTTAAATGTGCCTAGTTTATTAGTTTGACAGACTATCTAATCGGTAGTGTATGTACGCTAGCATGAGCTCTTTGGTTTTCTGGACAAGGTCTGCAGCTACGTAAATGGTGCAAGCATTAGGAGAGAGATTGTTACTAAGAGCTCATTTCGGTTTATGTACCTGTTATGAACTGTCAAAAATGTGTTAATGTTGGATACAGAGGCTTTAACAGTTAAGTTTGATCACAGTACTAGACATAATCACTTTACTATATAAAATAAATTGCACGATATATAACAGAGCACCGCAAAGTACTTCATCTACCATCCACAAATTTGTTTTAAGAATATCCTACAGCTAGTTTTTATATTCGTTGTAATATAGGTCATTTGTAATGGGCTGATCCTAATTTCAGAAGCATTACATTTACTGAGGCATGCCTTCCTCCAGTCAGTAATCAATTTTTTTTTGTTACTGAGTATTTTGTAGCCTACATAGATTCATAATTTGTGCATTGTGGGCAGGTTTTATATTAGACATATATAAAATTTATTGCATGCAGCAACCTGATTAAGTAAACATGCAGTCAAAAAATATTGACCTTCCTTGGAAGCTTTTCTGTATGCTATACTGATCTCCTTTCAGCAGCCATCACTATTTTAATCACATATTCATTTTTTAATTGATACCCTAGCCTGAATAGAGTATTATGGTATTAGTAATACCATTTTAATAGCAGCAAAAGCTATTGCAGCATACATTTACATAACACTAAAAGACCTAACAAAAAAACCAAAACCAACAAAACAAAACAAACAAACAAAAAAACCCTCAGCAAAACAAAAGAAAAAAGTCTGATCCAGCTTATGAGGTATCATCCTTACAAGTCAAAATGGAGAGCAACTAAAGGCTTATTTTCTTTAAGGGTTATTACTACTCTAAGTGACCCAAACTAACGATTGCTGAATATCTGTTTAAGTTTTTGCTACATCTGCCACCTACTTGTGAATATTACCTTTGGTAAGTCATCTGCTAGGGGCAAGTCTAAATTTCTGAAAATAAGTGCATGCTCCAGTTTAAAAATAAAAATAATTATAATTATAATAAAAAAATCTTCATCACATACACATCAACCCAGTGAAGGCTGATGAGAATGGCAGTCTACATAATGTCACTAGTGACAAGTCTTGTGTAGGAAATTAAGGTACCAAGCAGATGTTTGTGTGAATCAAAGTGCAAAATCAGTACAGTTACACTCTGCCGGTTTGTATTATACTGGACACTGAGTTCAGTAATGTGACTGTAAATAATAATAATAGTAATAAAAAGACCCATATCTTCATTAAAGTCGAGGACGAATGCACAGATTTCCAGAACACTAAGCCCTGAGGCAGCGCTCTCTTTTCGCTCGATTTTATCTACTCCAGTACTTGTTGCTGGGGGAGGCCTGGGGTTCAGCTCCAGCGGAACGGGACGTGGCGGGGCCGGTCTCCTCCCTCCTTTACCAGTGGTTTGTGGAACTCTCGCCCAGCACGAGAGTGTATGCTTGCCCAGCAGTATTCACAGTAATACTGCAAACAGGTAACATTGGCACAAAAGAATGGAGCAAATTTTCCACCACAGCGAGTGCCCTGGCATTCATCACACATCTGATCATCCAGCACATATGGCTTCACTTCCACCTGCACCAGGAAAAGAAAAATGACTGTAAGATGATTATACAGTTTTGCTAAGCATGAACAGAAGGAACAAAGTTTTAATTCTTTTGACTCTCTTGAAGGTTTTCAACTGATGCTGGATTAACCTGAAGAGGTTGGTAGTTAAATTTTCACTTGCTAGAAAATCGCAAGGAAGAAGGGTGTGCTTTGGTAACTATTCAACGTTTCTTGGAAAAGTTAGATATGTGAAAGTACTAAGATGGAAGTACAGTAAAAATAGCATCTCCAAGGATGTTGGAAAAGTTAGATATGTGAAAGTACTAAGATGTAAAAAGTACTGCATGGAACAGTAAAAATAGCATCTCCAAGGATTCTGCTGCTGTCTAAGAAACCTCCAGGAATGTGAATACAGTTGTTACGGGGGCAGGGCGCGAGAGCACAGCACTTAGGAAGAAAAACGGTAAAGAACAAATTTATATTTCTAAAATTCAGAGGTTTGGGGAGTTTCAGAGTTTTTTTCCAGAGAGGTGTTTTTTTGTTGGTGGTGTTTCTTTGGTTTTTGTGACCAGACTAATAAATGAAGGGAAGATTCAAATTAAACAAGATTAAATGTGCTTGTATTAAATAGTCTGCCTTACGCTGGCAAAAATCACCATCTAAAGAGGTTTAGCTCCAGAAACGTAGTAAGATTTCATAGTTGTTCCAACTGTGGCCTTGCCATCAATTACAAATAGGTTGGAGACTGCTGACTTTTGTCCTACACTCAGCTGTAAACATCTTAGGACTGGAATCCTTGTTGGGTTTATAGCACTTGTGCCAAACACAGCAGTATTTTGATGCATGACTAGGCACTTGCAATAATCCTATTACAGAAGATGACAACATGCGAGTTCTCTCCTGTGTGTCTGTGCCTCAGAATCAAGCCTGTACATCTAACTTGAGTGTTTATTCATTCTGGGGAAATCATTAGTTTGTGCACATGTAGTTCTTATTGCTCTGTGGTGCTATGGTTTAAGTGCAATCAACTACATTGAGAGACAGAAGAAGTTGAAATATACATACTTCTAGTATAAATAATTCTGCTGTAACTGCACAAGTGCTAGTGTGGCAAAATTTGCAAGTTGCAAGGAAAACTTGACTCCAATACTTAAGCTTGAATACATACAGCATTAAAGAAACACAGAATGAGATATCAAGTTGAAAAACAAGAAACATATTATACAAAAAAGCTTTATGCTGAATTCTACTTCAGCTTATCCTGATCACATTTCAACAAATGTTACTCATTCGAAGTAAAGCTTACATAGCAAATTATATTTCATACCTATGGAACAGCTAGAACTGCCACTTTTTTTTTTTTAATTGCACTGTACTACTGGTACTGCATGGAACAAGTCTGAATAACTGCCATTTTGCATATCAGATGCCCTACCACTAAAATTAGAAACATCATGTAAAATAAAACAGCACTGTCTCAGATGAAATAGGAAGAAAGCAGGTCCAATGTCCAGCACATCCTTAGATTCCCACCTACTCACATTTCCAAAGCATAAATTGTGGAGGTCTGAAATAGATTCTCTCTCTCACTCCTTTCCTTGTTTTGGTTACTAGTGAAATAATTTTAAGAATGTATGCTATACAATTCAGGGATTTCAATCTATTAGATTTAAAAACTAATATTTAAGGACTGATTAAGAGACTTCATACTTCTTCAAACTCACAGATAAACCTATTTTAAAAATGGATAAAAGATAATTAAGTAAACTTAAATTATCAGTCAACCAACTGGGCAAAGTACCGATTGATGGAAGAAGCTACCAGCTAGCATCACCTGTGGCTCTATCCTAAAGCTTAGAAAAACACCCAAGTTTTTAAGCATGGCTGATATATCAACTGCAAAGGGTTCAGCACTGTGATTAAGACTCCAAAATTAATCTTAGTCTCTCTACAAAATTTTTTTAGAATTCAATGGACAAGAAATACTGAGGAACAGCCTTGTCTTAGTTGAAATCATGAGGTATAGTAGCACCATAGAAAAGTAGTTTGAGGACTTAAAACTCCATGACCTCATCTGGTCCGACAAAAAGTTCAGTTCAGATTTTTAAAGAGAAAGCAAAAATAGCTTGGACTTTGCAGCTGTGTGTTTTTATATGTATACTGCACGTAACAGACACACCCAGTACCTGTCAAGCTGACTTCTTAAGAAACAATTTATATTAGATTAAGTAGAAAGCAAGCCACCCCTATTGCAAAAATACATAGCAGCAGTGCATTCTGTATGTTCTTTTGAACAATTCTAAATGCTGAGTCCTCAGAACCATAGGAGTTGTTATTTGTACATCTAATCAAGAGGTGAAGACAGAAGGTCTAAAGGAAAAAAAAAATTTGGAAATTAAGTAATGTTTTCTTTTAATGTCTTAATGTTTAAGATACATCTTTTGAACTCTGCTTTAGCTGCTTAAATAAGCGTTAAAGTAATTAACAAATGTCACCTGAAGAACAGAGGTTACAGTGCTCTCCAGCATGACATCAATGTAAGGATGTTTTTAATTTCTGTACAGTTTTGTGAGTAACAACCATTCTGTTCCACGCTATTTTACTTACCCGTTTGTCAATGTCATTATGTTGGAGCTGGACAAAGCGAGCACTGATAGCAGCAATATAGCTCTGCTGATTGGAGAAAGCCACTCTGCCAGCACCTTTGGGATACTTCAACTCTGGGTCTGTATCAATGCCAGCATAGCAGACACCTCCATATAAACGGTCCATAATCATTGCCAATTCAACTGCAAGAAGTCAATTGTTAAATATTACAGATGCAACATAAATAATAGTGTTGCGTTTGGTTTGTTGTATTAAAAAAAAAAAAAAAAGCACTGTTTGCCTTAGTGTACTTGTCTTCCAAAGTCTAAAATAGCAAACCCAAATGTTGGTTTTAACAGGTTGAATCAACCCCACATGAATTATAGCAAAATATAAAGGCAAAACTCAGAATCTGTAAAAAGGAACTTGATGTGACGGAAAAGGCAAAAACCAGAATCTGTAAAAAGGAACTTGATGTGACTGAAGTGTGAAAAATACACAGTGACATTGCTAAAGTAGGTACCAGGTCAACTGTTTTAGAATTCATCATATGGTAAATTAAAACTGTGGCATTTGGGATTAGGTATTCAGGATCTCCCCAGCTCCAGCCAGGCTTGTTAATGCTAGCTTATATGTAAGATCACTTAAAGATATTCCTGTACGTACAATCTGATATTTTCCCCTAAGTACTAAGGTTGAAAAGACATTAAGGAAGTGTTCTACATTTGAAACAAAATCTTGTGAAACGTCAGAAGTTACTACACTTAAAGTAAGCCTACATTTTGGGTGCAACTTAGTATTTTTGTAGAACATTAACTTGATTGTGGATCTTTTAAAATGGTTTTAAAATGTTGCTTTTTCTGACACTAATAACAACTCTAAAGAAGTTATAAATATCATTCATAAGACAGGCTGAGTGCATGGCTGAGGACACATACAGGAGGCAAGCTAAGGGAAAGAACTGAAGGAAGTGGAGAAGAGGCCGAAGGAAGTGGAGAAGAGGCACGTACGCTGTGCAGAGATGTACAGAGCCAAGTTCTCTGTAAAAGTTGACAGGCAAACAAATTTGTCAGATGGATGAAGGAGAGACCCGCACAAAGCAAAATACTGGGTCCTGTACAGGCCCTGCCAGGTCAGCCATTTTTTTATACTCATGTGCGAAAGCTCTTTTGGTAGCAAGTTTAGCTGTCCAAGATAAAATGAAAAAGGATAAACAAAATATTTAAATCCTTGTAGTTCTCACAAAATTCTCACTAGTTAATTATATATAGAACAGAGGCAATTTTTAAATTGAGTATGTATATGTGTTTGTATAAATGCATGTGTCACACTAAGGGAAGACCACATGCTAATTTGTCCATTTACAACAAGCAAACAAATGCCCAACTCATTGTACCAAACCAGATAATACTCTTGCTCCAAACAGTAAGGGAAAACTATCAGCATAAGGTAGGAACTAGGGGATTCTTCTGCTTTCTAATGATTTAGAATAATCATCATTCAGATAATGATCTCAGAAAGTGACAGTATGGAATAAACATCAGGAACACACAAAAACATTTACAATAGCAGTTCCAGTAAGTTACTCCTGTCAATAGACAAAGAATATATAGGATTCCAGGGCAAGGAAACCACGCAGTGCTCAAGCACCTTAGGAAAAACTTCTGTATCAGATCTTTAAAGCTGCAAACAAGCACAACTGGAAACTGTTTGTCTGCTTCTGAGAAGTTAACTATTTAAAAGGCATCAGTTTTCAAATGCGATGCATTTCAAATGTAATCTATGACAGGCCAAATGACATACAGTTTTATAGAGGCTATACTTAGAAATGAGGTAATGTTTAATTGTTACTATCTACATAATTACTGTCTAACAATTATGCCTTATTTTAAGATGGTGAGGAAAGTGAAAGCTGCCAAGAAACCTGGGCTGGGAGAAATCTTACTGCCAGCAATGGCTGGGGAACTTTGTGTACAGCTTCCCAAGAGAATTAGGATTAGGAGAAAAATAAAGTGAGGAGCTGAAGTTCTAGTGTGCTGGAAAGTGGCTGCCAAAGGCAAGTGAGGGCTCCCGGGAAACCTGATCCAGAAGTGTTTGTTTCAGACAGTTACTTAGGGGCCTTGTCTACTACAGCCCTGGAAAATCAGGATTAGGGTTGAGAGGATGAAGGAGAGAAACAGTGCAGCTGACTTGGAGTGAGGATGGAGAGGGACGACTAAACAGAGTGAGGGCTCCAAAAGGCCTAGCTAGGAGAAATGTTTCAACTTGCTAATGGCTTTGTGACCTTGTCATTGGCTCACCAAAAATATAAGGGTTAGGAAGAAAGAAAAGAGCGTCAAACTACAGTTAGGAGCGGTGCTGAAAAGGGGCCTTCAAAACAAAGCGGGGGCTGCCAGGAGACCTGGGTTGGTATGAATCTTTCATCTGGCCAAAGGCTAAGGAGTCTTGTCTACGGCTCTGCAAATAAAAGTGGAGAAAAAGAGTTAAAGGTTGAGAAAAAGATTGGGAAAACAGCTACATTAGGAGTCGGTCTGGAAAGTGGTCTTCAGTACAGAGCGGGGCCACCAAGAGACCTGGTCTGGGAGAAATTTTTCTTCTGGACAATGGCTGAGGCCTTGTCTATAGCTCCATAGGAAAATTAGGGGTTGGGGGTTGAGAAAAAGGGAAAGTTTTTTTAAGGGGCTCGGAGAAGTTTGTTGTCTAGTCAAAGGGAAGGGGAACTTGTCTGCATCGCAGCAAGCAGATCAGGGGTAGGATTAAGATTAACATTATGAAAATTCAGCCACATTCTAGGATATTATGCAAACATGGGTAAACTGTTTCTACTGAAAATTCTAATTAGATAAAAAATTCACAGTTTGTATTTTGTAGATGGGAAGACACTCACTGACTTAGAAAGTGAGCTACGATCTTTGGAAGAGACGGGGTATATTTTCTGCTGTTACATACACTCCATATCTTTTCTGATTAATCTGGAACCCCCTACTACATGCCCTACATTTTCCTTCTACTCACCAGCTCGGAGGGGCCGTGGAACTCCTCCAACAAAGATAGTTTTCCTTGGATCCAAAGGCTGAGATCCATCCATCACAAAGTCACTATCACTTAGGTTCCAAGGTCGAATTTGCACCTGTATTAAGGATTGTTTTTAGTAGAGGAACTTGACAACTCAATGAAAATTAAGAAAAAACTGCCAAATCTTTCTACAATTAATAATATACTTTTAACTTAGCAAAAGTAGTTAGTGGTATAAGAACCAAAACAATTTGAGGACATAGCTTATCTAAGTGTTTGAGAGAAGGTGGACAATTTCTTTATCACCTCTAGAGGCCAGGCGTGAGTTAAGTTTCATCATAGCAAACTCTACCTCATTAATTCCCTGCCCCTAATCGCCATTATAATAAGAAATCTGTGAAAGGACTTTCAGAACATGTATGTGCAATTGCAGTTGCAGTCTGGGCTTCTGGCTTTCCTGAAATCACGTACAGTGATCCACAAATTTTAAAGCACTGGTAGGAGTAGAGATAAAATCAGTTTCTGTGCTTGGATACAAAAGGAGTTTTTATCATGTGTGAATGCTCACTTCTGTTAAGCAGCAAGCAACACAGCCGATAAGAAATCTTTAGATTACACAGAAAAAAATCTGCTCAGAAATTATTTGGATAAAGTTCTTCATCCATTTTTTGATCCTAGAAACCACATAAGCACACTCACTGGGCTGTAATACTGGGTTGTTCATTTATCTGCACAAGCTTTTAAATAGTGTTTTTAAAAGGCAGCACAGGTTTTTTTATCTAATTATATTTGTAGTTTTCATCTAATCTGTATGTATCCACAGCCACAAAAGAGACTAGCATTAAAGAACGCTAGAGATGTGAACAATAGAAACAGGTTGCTATACGCCTTCTATTCTGTTACAGCTGTCTGCATTACACGGTTTTACCCTGCAGTTTGTATAAGGTAAATGAGACCTAAATTATAAATTGATTAACTATTGCATGGAGAAAAAATAATAATTAAGAAGCCTAGTGAAGTACAGAGGATATTTCAAGCTATCTGGATTTTAATTTGGGGGGGTGTGTGTGTGATAAGTTTCTTCACTTTATTGCATAAGGCTTTCTTTCAAATAACAGAGGGAAAAATTATAATCTGATTGTTTTACAGCTAACGTTGTGAAAGGATGCATACTCTTGTGAGATACCAGAAATACCAAATATAAGTGTTAATTGAACACCACATTTCTCAGAGAGAAGCAAACGTTAAAACCATGCTACGTTGATGCAGAAAGTCAATTCGATGTAACAGCAAGGACAGCAACAGGAAATGGACAAGTCAATCAGCTCTAAGTATTTTGTTATTTATTTTTTAACTGAAAAGAATAACAGCAAATGGGTTAGCAACCAGCATAAGTGTTGTGGCACAAGCTACTTACTGGTTTATCCTTGATTGTGGGACTCGACACACAGAGATAAAGTTTCCCATCTTCTTCCAGACAGGCATCTATCAGAGCTTGTACAGAGCTTTCTTCCTGGAACAGCAGAAAGGCATAACCTTGGAAAGGATAAAGGCACAAGGAAGAAAAAGAACAGATTAATTTATAAAACATTTTTTTAAAGAAAGAAAACAAACCCAAGAAGTGAGTAAGATATACAAATTATAAATAACTGTTAAGGCTGTTTAGTTTGTTTTCATAAATTAAGTTCACTGTATAGATCATACCCTCATACAGTATTGATTTCAAAATGGAGACAAGAGTGTTTGCTGCATATGAGCACGTTTATTTCATTAATTAATGATTTTGAGTAGTGAAAATATAGGCTGATGAATAAGGGGTTCTTATTATCCAAACGACTGTATCTGAGCTCTTTACCAGTGGTATCCGCTAGTGTCAGTGATTATCATCTTACAATGGAGGCACTGAGTTTCTGGTTACTATATACAATAAATAAACATTAGAAGAAAGGGTCAAAAAAGTCGACAGGTAAACACATAAATAGACTTCTACACTCACATACTTTGCTATGGAAAAAAAATGCTCACCTAAAACCAGTAAGGATGAGTGAAAAAGAAGGGCATGCTTGTGTTTTATTATGAGTCAAAGACCTGTTGCTGTTGCTATTTATATTTAAATAAAGCAGCTCAAAAGAAAGAAGAAAGTCCAAAAAAATTGCTGCAAGCAATTGAGAATTTTAGGACTTTAGAGTAGCTGGTAAAACTAAGTGTGTGAGGCATTCAGTGCTCATCTGAATGCAGCCAGCAAGAAAGCTTTTTTCAGTCTTAATGTTGTTAAATTTGAATGAAGGTTTGACCCAAGCAGTCCATGCTTTTGCTACCTCCGAAGTGAAACGAACGCAGCACACTCTGCACTAAGCACAGCCATCTAAAGACTGGCTGCTAGACTCAAATACAGCTGCCTGGTTAAGGGGACCTTCTATTGAGCGTGCATTGCTCTTTTGCTCCATAATCAGTACAACTCAGTTTTCTCACTGAATGTGAACGTGTTGGCTTTGACCTTTATAACTTGGCACTCGTGTCTCTCACAGGCTACCTCTTTTCAGAAAATCTGCAGCAATTAGAGGCAGCTGGATTTTAAGCAGGGACTGCTAGACTTTCTCTGCCTAAGACTCCTGACACAAACTAAGCGCCTACATGATGATACACCATATTTAAATTATGACAACTTTTGATATAGCTTTACACAGTCTGCCATTAATATAGTAGTGACTCACCCTAATTTTGCACTGAGCATTGAGTGAATACTATTTGGCATGTCCTTTTGAGATAAATACTACACAACTCTGATTTATAAAAAAATTGAAGATAGAACACTGAAAAAGTGTTTTCCTCTGTAGAGTTGTTATCTACCAAATTACCTCGTACCCTGTTATCTCTAGTCCTGCATGACTTCCCAAAGAACATTAAATTCTATGCGGCTGTTTGTTTTCAGAGGCCAAAAAAAGTTTGCGTTAACAACATAGTTATAGCCCAGAACACTTTCTAGAAAGACTGACTTCCTCAAGAAAACAAAATAGTTTGATCATCACTCTTGCTAGCAAACAAGGAACTTGCATACCTAGAGTTGCAGTAGATTAAAGATACCAGTCCCAATAAAAAGTGAAATATTTCTGAGTAAAAACATTGGTTTCCTCTCTTAGCAGACATAATTCTCTTAAAACAGTCCCCATAAGATATAAACACACTTCAACATTTTAGTTTTAGACTTCACAAAACTAATTACATTAACTGAGTACAAAAATAATTAGCTTGGATTCACTATCATTTTTAGCTTCATTTTATTTTCCATCCACTTACTTGTTATATCTGCCTCACTCCATACCATCCCTTCTGATTATATTCAATGATCAGAGCAAAAACTTTACAAATTAAAGTATCTTTATTTTAGCAGTTTTTTCAGCCTTATAAAATGCCCTAGTCAGCAAACTAGATACTTGGAAAAGAGTACCATGGCAACTACACCTCCAAAGCCAACTGATCACTCTTTATGGTTCAGCCCAATCCTTGCCTTGTATTTTATATAAATGCCTTGTGAGACAGATTCCCAGAAGATGCAGTGCAGATCACTCCAGTACTATGAAATCCAAATAAGAATACATATACATTTACACACACTTTAAAGGAATGGTTTACAAAATATTTAAGTAGATTTAAACATTTAGGATTTATCTTCTGACCAGACCATAAGATTTGAACTCTAAAAAATAGGATTTTGTATGTTTCAGACTTTTATAATCTCAAGCCAGCAAAATATCAGAAATTTCTTTAGCATAAAGTCAAAATGAAAATTAGGAAATGTTTATTGTGGCTTAATTACTTGGCAAAAATCTGGGCAACAGCTTGGGATGCTTCTTTCTTCTGTGAAGCTTTTTCACGTTTTTCTAGGTCATAGTAAGAGGTTACATCTGTGGCAGTTGGAATTGACAGCCATTTAGGGCTACAGTAAGTGGTATGATCATAATTTCCCAAACCAGTTAAAATTAACCAAACGAGATACTTCTTAATTTTCTCTGGCTGCTAGACTACAAGAGCAGTCCGATTTAGTAAGAATTCAGTTTTCTAACCTGGGGCTAGCACCTGCCATGAAGTTAAGTAAGTTAAGACCTCCTCATTTCTCTAGACCTTTGTGACTGTAACCCATTCCCCTGCCTACTAAAGAGTCTCTGTAGGCCCTCTGAAGAAGGACGGGGAAGCAGCTTACAGCAGCAGTCTTCTGCTAACCTAGAAAAGCAAGCAGGCCGGACTAGCCTGACATGACGCCCAGCACTACTTCTAAACCTGGTGACTGCACAGCTATTCAAGGACTTCTGATACTCAAGATAAACAAAGATTACACTGAAATGAAAAATAATTAAATAACAGAAGTTCAAATAATGCAAGGATCATGTAGAAACTGCACAAGAGGGATACCTGCCAAAGTTAAAGGTAGTTTTACTCATTTTCTAGAAGTGCATAGGGATGCAAAACCCTTAAATTCAGGAAGGTGCAGCTCCCTCCCATGAGCAGTGGGAAGTGCTAGGCCTTGCCATTACTGAAGACAGTATCACAGTACCGCTGTTCAGAGCCGCATTTGCTTGTTCGTACAAGCAAACGTGCTTCCACGGATGCACTGCATTTGATTAGAACTCTAAAGGAGATGCACTCTGAACTCAGATTCCAGTATAAAACAATGAAATTGGAAAATACACATGCCCAAACTCATATTGCTTAAAGAATTATCTCACACCAGATGCAATTTAATAATGGAATAGGTTTTTTTGCATAGGAACAAAACACCATGTTTAGTAATTTCATCCACAATTTTAAAAAAAACAAAACCAAAAACAAACAACACACCAGTCTGTAAATGAATAGTAATTAATTCTCTTTTTCTGTCAGCTGTGTTTAAATGTTAAGGTTGGCTATGACTTTATAACACTCTAAGAGTATTCCCTCCTGAAGAGATTCTCAAAGAACACCTACTTCAGGCATTATATCCTGTTCTACTGTGTATTTCTAGTCCTGTTTCTACTACACACAATGAGAGATGACCTTAATCATCAAAACCCTTTACTGCATGGCCAGTTGACATCTAACATTCAGAATGGTCAATTATAGGGGCTTCTAGGTTTAAAAGAATCTTAATGCATGTTGAAAAACACTAGGTGAGGTAGAATTAATAAGATGATCAGCTTCCAAAACAAAGATGTATTAATCTAAATAACTTGAATTATTTAGCAGACACTGAAAGTTGCTTCAAATTCCTCAGCATCTTGTGCTTCAGCACAATCTCCTCTCTATGCATCACAGGTATCATATGACTTAAAGCATATGGCTTTTTTCCAAGAAGTAAGAGATTTTATGAATTCCAATATTTTAATCCTCTACAGCAGAATCCTGGTAGCATGCTGTGGTATTATGTTGCAGACAAACTTCAGCAGTGATCCTGTCTTACCTGACCAAGGTTCTAAGGTTCGAGGGCTCGAAGGACTGCTCCTAACTCAGATTCCATAAAGTAAAACAGGTGAGATATTTGAAGACCCAGAAAATAGCAAGGTACCTGACAACAGCTGAATATTCTGTATACACAGATATATGGCTTCTTGGCAGAGCAGAAACAATCCAGCTCCTTCTCAGCTGTTGGTACAACACATCACTGTAGTGCTGACAATAAACATGGCACTTTGCAATCCACTGGAAAAAGGCGTCAATGTATTTTGCTGTAAGAAAAGTCACTCCAACTTTTAAAGGGGTACAGCAGAGGGAAGATAAGGAAAAGATTAAATTTCCCTAGATTCTGAAGCACAGCCTAGGAGCTCCTCAACCTTGAGCTCAAGGATTCATTATTTTATGGAAAGCAGTACAAGAACTAAACTCCTTTGTACATGTCCCATTCTGACATCTAAACAGTGACACAATTTCCATATGAAAGGATAATTTAGTCCAGTTGGTCTAATTTCACTTAACCTTGCTGAGAACAAACTGGAAAACCTGGCATACATGCTGTGTCCCACAAGCTTGAAACAGCGTTGCCACTTGAAACGCAAGATAGACTTGGAACTGCTATATAATGTTGCTATAGTCTGGAAAATGCATTTTGCCAGCCTAGACAGTCTGGAAACCTCTATTTTAATTAACGTCAACATAGGCTTACCTTCTCTAATGATGGGAGCCTTTCTGTATTACTGAAAGCACAGTTTGTAATGAGGCTTCAGTGATCTCTTCAAAACAACACACTAGGTGGAAAGTTTTCAGTTGTATAACGCTGATGTTAGGTGGCAGAACTAAGACAATGAAGAGGAGGACTTTCTCTTCACATATTGCATAGCAGGTCAGAACGGTCTTTGGGCAGTCACATGTATTCATTTCATATGCAAAATGGAAAGACTACTTACACTTGAAAAAAGTTAAACTACCTTTGAAGCACATTTTCTTTCATTCCATCTTTTTAAAGTTTAGACAGATTCTTTTCTGATGTTTTATAGGCTCCAGAATTACAATAAAATCTACCATCCACCTAAGATCTCTTATAAAAGTATTTCAGTATAATCTACCTT